CCTGACGCGGCGTCGTGCGAGGACGCTTGGTTGCCTCTCGTTTGCGGGCGAGATGTCTGGAGTCGTTCGCCAACTGTTGCGACGACTTTTTATTGGCCCAGGGGCCCAGACAGCGCGTCGCAGAGGGGCATCCTCATTGACGGCATTGGGCCTGGCGGCGCCCCTGCGCTCATCTTCTTTAAGCTGTCGAACCTGCTTTACGACGAAGATGGCGCTAAACATGCCTTGTGCTTGAAGGGCGCCGCTGGCGTAATCCCTTGCGCTCTGTGCAAGAATGTGCACGGCATATACGACCACTCGGAGCCCCTGCTGTCAGCGCATGACAGGGCGGGCACGCCGGTGCCCATTTCGTGCTCTGATCCCAACCTGTTCGACGCGCGCGCCGCGGAGGACCTGTTCTTCTCCGCGGACCTGCTCCAGCGTCTGCAAGCCACGCTGCCCAAGGGCGCGTTCGAGGAGCAATGCAAGATGCACGGCGTTAATCACGTACCAGATGGTTTGCTATTGGACGCTGAGCTTCGCCAGCACGTGTCGCTGGACATGCGCACGTACGACCCAGCACACTGCATGATCATAAATGGGATCGCTCAGATTGAACTGAGTGAGTTTCTGTGCCGCCTCGCTGCCGTCGGCCTGACGTTGGAGCGCTTCAGGGACATCGCCAGCGCGCAGTGGCAGATTTGCAGCTTTTCAGCGACCAGCGGCACGCTGGACGCCAACGGGCTTTTCAGCGACCAGCGGCAAAAGCACTTGCAGACCAGCAAGAAATACAGCGCCAAGGCGAGCGAGATCATCGCGGCCGTTCCGCTCATTCGGTACGCTCTCGATGTACTTACCGCTGGGTCCGCTCAGTTCAAGCTGGACTTTGCAAAGGAGCTGGCTTCCTTTGCCGCGCTGGCCAAATCAATGTTTCTGTATTTGCTGGCCAAGAGAGGCGCGGCTGTGGCAGATGCTTGGGCCGTGGCGCTCCGCAACCACGCCGTGGCTTTCGAGTCTGCGCACGGTGATTGCGGCATGCACATCCCGAAGTTTCATTTCTGCAGGCACCTGCCGCGACAGGTGCTCAGGGATGGGTTCGCACTTGATACGCTTGTGACGGAGAGGTACCATAAAAAATCACTGCGGATCGCTGAATTCATCGACAACACGCGGTGCTTCGAGAAATCATTACTGACCCGAGCTATTGCCCTTCAGTGCCACGATGCGCAACATAATGTTTCATTTGGGAATGCCTTGGTGTGCGGCATCAAATACAACGACGTCATGAACGTTTCGAAGGTCGTTATTGCGGGTGGCTCTCGCATATCAGCTGGAGATATTCTGCGTATTGGTGAGAAGCGCTATTTTATCCTCGGCGGTGCCGAGGAAGGCGGCAACGTGGCGTTCATTGTTCAGGAGTTGCATTTTATTTGCCAGGTGTTGCCCAGCGCCTCGCGGTGGCGAAAGGACGACGCCCCGAAGTTCGCGCAGTGCGACTCCTTCATGGCACAGCCTCTCTGGACACAAGAGGCTTCTGGAACGCTGTTATTGGTGGATATGGCATAAGTACCCGCAGGCGCCGAAGCGCCTGCAAGCGTCGAGCGCTGGCGCGATTGCACTTGCCAGAGCATTTCCTGAGATTTATCGGCGCGACCGCTTCGCGAGGCTACCCAAGGGGAGACAAGGGGGCGAGGAGGAGGAGGAGGAGAGACAATCGGAGCGGCGCGACCGCTTTGCCACTTTGCGAGGCTATCCAGGGGGGAGCGGGGGGAAAGGAGGAGGAGGAGGAGGAGGGGGAGGAAGGAGCAGGAGGAGGAGGAGGAGGTGGAGGAGGAGGAGGAGGAAGAGGAGGAAGAGGAAGAGGAGGAGGAGGACGAGGAGGTTGAGGAGGGCGAGGACGAGGAGGAGGACGAGGAGGAAGAGCGGTGCGTCCGCTTTGCCCCTCATGCCCCGATCCTTCGCGCGCGATCGCTTTGCGAGGCCATCCAAGAGGAAGAGGAGGAGGGGGAGGAGGGGGAGGAGGAGGAGGAAGAGCAGGAGGAGGAGGGGGGGGAGGAGGGCGAAGAGGACAAGGAGGAGGAGGACGAGGAAGAGGAGGAGGAGGACGAGGAGGAGGAGGGGTAGGAGGAAGAGGAACGGCGGCGCGTCCGCTTTGCCCCTTAAATTCTGATTCTGGGAATGACCGTTTTGCGGGTTATCCAAAAGGAGGACGAAAAGGAAGAGGAGGAGGAGGAAAAAAGGAGGAGGAGGAGGAGGAGCGGTGCGACCGCTTTGCCTTTTCAGCTTCTTGGTTCCCTTCAGTTTTGCCGCTGCCATTGTCATCTCAGGGGCTACAGGGACGCCTTGCGCGGGCCCAGTACGAGCGCGACAAGAGGTTGTCATCCAGGGATTCGAACGCATTTGCCCTCCCTCCTCCTTCTCCTTAACCTCCCCTCCCCCGTTGGAGCGCAACGTTCTGGGCGTGATTAAAAAAGGGAAGTTCTGAAGCGGCCAAACCGCTGCACTGTGCAACTTGCAATGTAAAAGCGATCTGCCGCTGCGGAAAGTCAGGAGAAAAAGGAAGAGAAGCAATGTGGTTTGTGATTTTTCTTATAATTTGCATTTTTTCCATTTTCACTATTTGTTTCAATATTTTTCATTATTTTTCATTATTTTTATTTTTTCACTATATAACACTATGGTTTTCACGATTTTTCATTATAGTTTACTATTTTTCTTTTTTTTAATACATGCTGATAGGATCCTATATCCTATAGTGCACAATAGATATATTTAGTGTTCTACAGAACCCCACCCATCAAAGGGGCTCAGGGCGAACGGGCCTCCGGGCGAACAGGCTCCAGGCCAACGGGCTTCCAGGCGAACGGGCGTCCGGGCGAACCGGCCTCTGGGCGAACGGGCCTCCAGGCGAACGGGCCTCCGGGTTTTCTGGCGAACGGGCTTCCGGGCAAACGGGCTTCCGGGCGAACGGGCTTCTGGGCGAACGGTCTCGCATCGCCCGATCCGACCCGCCCCGACCCGAACCGTTAGGGTTCTCGCGTGTCCATTCGATGATGCGTCACACTTTAATGCCCCGTCCGCCCGACCCGATCCACCCAGCAGGGCTCGCCCGGCCCGACCCGGCCCGCCCCGTTAGGGTCGACCCTACCCGCCCCGTCTCGACCCGACCCATTAGGGTTCTCGCGTGTCCATTCGATGATACATGATGCTTTGATGTCCCGCCTGCCTGGCCCGACCCGCACGTTGGGGTGCCTTACTCTTGGGCCTACCCCCTAGGCCGAACCTAGGCCTCTCCTAGGCTTCCCTTAGCCCTACCCCCTAGGGCTTGCTTTCCTAGGCTTGCCCGTAGCCCTACCCTTTAGGCTTACCTCGGGCTTGCCCCTAGGCTTCTCACCTAGCCTTGCCTTAGGCCTACCCCCAGGCCTTTCCTCTAGGTCTACCGTAGGCCTACCCCCTAGGCCTTCCCCCTAGGCTCACCATAGGCTCACCCTAGGCCTACTCCCTAGGCATACCCTAGGCTTACACCCAGGCCTACCTCCTAACTTACCCTAGGTCTACCCCTAGGTCTTCTCCCTACGCCTACCCTAGGTCTTCCCCTAGGCCTACCCTCTAGGCCTCCCCTAGGCCTACCCGTAGACCTCCCCCTCGGCCTACCGTAGGCCTACCCTAGGCCTTCCCCCTTAGCCCACCCAAGGTCTACCCCTAGGCCTACCCCCTAGGCCTACCCTACGCCTACCCCGTAGGACCTCCCCTAGGCCTACCCTAGACCTACCCCTAGGCCTACCCCCGAGGCCTACCCCCCAGGCCTACCCCCTAGGCCTACCCCCTAGGCCTACCCTTAAGCCTACCCCCTAGGTCTACCCTAGGCCTAGCCCTAGGCCTTCCCCCTAGGGCTAGGGTAGGCCTACCTGTAGCCCTTCCCTCAATGTTTACCCTGAGCCCATGCTTAGGCCTTCCCTAGGTCTACTCTAGGATCTTGGGTAGGGCCTACCCTAGGTCTACCCTAGCGCGTTGGGTAGGGCATACCCCAGGCCTCCCTAGGGCCTTGGGTAGGGCCTACCCTAGGCTACCTTAGGACCTTGGGTAGGGCCTACCGTCCCTCCCGGGTTCTATACTCGTTTGGACGTTGTGAACCCCAGACGTCGTATATGCGAAAAGTGAATTTTTCCCTGGGGAATGGGACGAGTTTTGCTTGTTGGAGCCCTTTTGGAGAGCCTCTTGAGGCTCTCTTGGGGCTTTTCGGCGGCCTCGAGGGCCGTATGAAGGCCATCTTGGGCGTCTTGGACCGCTCGTTCGGTGACTCGGAGCGCTTTTGGGCTGTCTGGGGGGCCTCTGCCAGCGTTTTTGTTATTTCTCTGTGTTGTCTCTCTTTGTTTGTTTTCTCTGTCTCTCTCACGCTCTCGCTCTCTCTCTCTCTCTCTCTATCGTTGCTCGTTCTCTCTTTCACGCAAGTTTTTTTTTCATTCTGTCCTTGACCCGCACTTCTGATATCCCGCTTCCTCTTCTCTTCGACCCGCCAGGGTTGTACATCGGATTCGCTTTTAGTGTGCCGCCGAGCACTTACTAGTTTTCTTGTATGCATCATTTGATGTGCAGCATGTTTCTCTTGGACTGCTCGAAACAATGGGTGTGTTGCCGCCGTCTAAAACCGAGTCAGAGAGCCAGACAGTGTTTTACCAACAAGTTTTTTCGTATCGAAGTGTCCAAGAGCCTGCGGCAAGTTTTGCCATCGTGGCACCGCAGCACTTTGCCGTGCGGCCTACGGAGAAACGCTCAGAAGGTGTGGCGCGGCTGACGGGGAACCGCCCACAAGCATGTAACACGTGACAGCTCGCTGCCATGGCAGTGGCACGTGCAGTCCTTCTGCCCTTTACCCGAAGAGGGCCGTGACAGGTCTGCATGTGGCGTGCGGGCTTCCGACTTTGGGCAGCGCCGGAAGGGAGCTGCACGCCCCCGTTCTCCGCTGCCCCTTCTGCTCCTCCTCGTCCCATCCGATGTTTTTGCTTACTCGCGGGTGGAAGGCTGATCCACTGCCAGGACCGCCAGCGCGCGGCAGAGTGTTGCAGCCACCCGCCATATGTGTGGCAGGAAAGACTAGGAAGGAACGGCTCGGCGACCAGTTCTCTTCCCTTCTTCCTTCCCCAGTTCGGCTACCAGGGTGGATGGTTGTTTGTCTGCCTCACAGCTACTTCGTGGTCCCAGGAGTGACCCCACTACTACCGCAGCCGCCGGCAGGCGATCTCGGGGATTGGTCGAAGCTCGCGCAGTATTCATCCGTACGCAACCCATGGTTCATCCTTCTTCTCCAGCTCTGCCCTCGTCCTTCCGCCCTCGTCTTTTCAACCCCCCTGCCCTCTTGCCTACAGACCGCCACCCAGCCCTCCTTCCTCCATTTAGGATGGTTATCCGCCCCCGCGGCCACGGCGGCGACGTCGACGACAACGCGGATGACGATGACGACTAGACCGTCAACGATGAGGAGGCAGAGGAGCACGACGGCGACGGCGGCGACGGGGACTCACACAGCGACGACGGCGACGACGACAGCGACGACGACGACGACGACGACGACGACGACGACGACGACTACGATGACGACGACGACGACGGCGCCATCGTCGACGAAGCCGATGACGGAGACGACGAGGACGACGGCAATGGATCTTGATGATACCGATGACGGTGACGATGGCGGTAATGGATTGCGATGGCATGAAACGGGTGGCATGACATCTGATCGTGCAGTGGGAGATGCGGCTAGGCTATAGTATGGTCCTCGATCTCCCTTGTTTCCTCCCCCCTCCAGCTTGGCTGACGAGGAGCGAACGGCTTGCTTGTAAGAGTGAGCTTACGGCACCGCATTCTGAGACAGCAGCTGTGCCAACTTCTGTCAATCGTAAATTGGCGAACGATCCAGGAGAATGCGAAAGGCCTGCAAGCGCTCCAGGTGCACGCGTCAAGCGTTCTATGCGCGTGACCTCTGGGAGTACGCGCCCCGCTCCCAGCAGCTTGAAGCCGCCTCGGAGGACGACGCGGTCGCCCCCTGTCTTTGCGTCCACCAAGAGGGGCGCTGGGAACAGCTCCGCCAGGCCCTCGGGAAACATGTTTCGACTCCTCTTCGTGGCCCTGCTGCTCCCTGCTCAGCTCCTTCTTCCGTCATCTTCCTGCCCCCCTCTCCTTCCTCCTCCCCCCTCCTCTACTCCTTCACTCTCATCCGCATCCTTCCCGCCCCAGCCTCCCCCTCCTTCGCCTCCCCTCTCCCTCCTCTTCCCTCCTGCTGCTCCTTCCCCCTCCCTCGGGCTCCGACAGCGGCGACGGTTGCCCGGCGCCATTCAAATCCCCGCCTGGGTCCGCCTGCGTGGCGACGAGGCGGGGGCGCGAGCCCTTTTTGGCGCGCCTTCTACGTGCATCTTCGCATGCTGCACCTGCCGCTTGGAGTCAGCGCGCTGCCCTGTTCAGTCGGCTGGCCGCGGCTGGGAGGCGCGAAGCAGCTTCGCGCCAAACCGGCTTGGCGCAGGCGCCAGCGCGCCATCCGCGCCATCGCGCGGGTCCTCCCGCCCCTATCGACGCCGGAGGCGATTTGAGCACGACGACTTTCTTCTCAGCGTTATTCAGCCAGCGCGGCTCGTCCTGGTTGCGTGCGTGGTGTTTTACCTCCAACTTTGTGGAACGAGCGATGTGCCGAGCCAGTTCTGCGCCCGGACAGGAAGTTCCCGACTCTCGACGTCTTCGCACTCGGCGGCGGCCGCCTGGGCCGCTGGGGCGAGGTGAGACTGGCCTGGGAGCCAAGGGCGCGCGCGGCAAGTGTCAAGGCGGCCAGTTCGATCCCGCGCGCGCGCCTGTGCCGCCGCTGGCCGCTACCTTGGCTGGTGGGGGACAGGCTGCGGCGGGGCCGCCGCGGGCTGGTTGGGCTTCTGGTTCATTTTCGTCTCGCCGCCCGTCGCGGGCGGTCGCCTTCGGTCGCGTTTGCAGACGAGGCCGAGTATTCCGATGCCGAAGGCAGCCGCAACTCGCACTCCAAGAGCCTGGCAATTATTCCTGGTCTTCTTTCGGATGCACGCGCTCATGCTCACATCCCCGGAAAATTGGGCCAGGGTGCGACAGTCGCAGAAAGGGGAGTTTTCTTTGCAGAGTGCCGCGGCCAGCTTCGCGCCCTTGCGGGGGCGCTCCGCCTGCGCGAGCGGGCGGGGGAGGTGGCCCGCGAGAGGTCGTGGCGCGCAGGTATTTTTACAGCGATTGACCCTCGCCAGCCGCACGGGCGGCAATTATCTCGGCACACGCAGCACTCAAGCGCGCCCTGGCTCGGCAGGAAGCATTCGCTTCGAAGATCGAGGCTACCGGGGGCAAGGTGGCCAAGCTCGAGGAGCAGTTCGCACGGCGGGGCGAATGGGTCGGGCGCCGCAGGGTCGCCTGCGGCGAGATCGCGGCGAGTGGACCTTCGCTGCTCACAGGGGGCCGCACCTGGCGATGCCGCCGAGACCGAGGCGCCGCCGCAGGATCTTCTTCCTCCTCCTCCTCCTCCTCCTCCTCCTCCTCCTCTGCCAGTTGGCGCTCAGATGGCGGCGCCGCAGTTGGCCCCCGCAGGGGGCGCCCTTGCTGGCGCGCCGCCGCTTCAGCCGCGGCGGCCTCCCGACCATGTCGCGGTGCAACGGCAACTCGAGGCGCTTTCGTCCACCGTTCTCTCCAACGGGCAGCAGGTCGCTACCGTCGACGAGAAGCGGGGGAGCTTGGTTTCTGCATTGGGGAATGGCGCTGGCAATCTGCAGATTCCTCCTGTTCCGTGGCAGTTCGCTTCTCCTGCAGGGGTTCGGGCAGCAGCGCTATTTGCGACGCGCGTTGTGCTGCATGCTGGTGCCCCTCTTGCCCGTGCCGCCCGCCCGCAGGCGGCGCGGCCGCCTTCGGGCTCCGCGGCGGCCTCGGCGCGCCGCGCGGCGTCGGCCGATCGGTCAAGGGGTGATCGCCGCGCCGAGCGCAGCGCCAGTCCCGGGCGAGGTCGCGCCGTGCGAGCGCGCGCCGGCGGCGGCGACGGCGACGACGACGGGGATCTCGATTCCGATGCGGGAGGTCACAGGATCGCGTTGGAGGGGGGGTAGCTGCACTTTCCACTCCGATCGGTTTGCCTGGCGACGGGAGTGATCATAGTTTCTAGGCGCTGTCAGGGCCGGCTTCGTGCCTGAGCCGCGTATGCTGGTTTGTCTCAGTTCGGCAGTAGAGACCAGTGCAGCGTCGTCGTGATCGGCGGGTGTACTTGAGATTTCTATGTGATTGTGCTGTGTTTTTTTTCGAGTCTCTGTCCTCCTTCCTTGGATCTGAGCCTTCAGGGCTTTCAGAGGATCGAGATTTACGCCGAATCCTATTGTAGTGGAGGGACATCCAGCGTTTCTCAGGCCTGGACCTTTTGCGTCCTCGTTGTCTTGCATGATGGCGCCATTCGCTATTTGGCTGATTTTGCAGGCGCGTCGAGACGGACGAGTTCGCTATGGTTTCTTGTCGGTTGTGCCTGGTGTCAGAGGCTATAGCTCTTGTGTGGGCAATGTCTCGGTCGTTGCAGGCGCCCTTGTCGCCCGCCTGTGCGCTTCTCTTTGGGCAGCGCGATCGTGATGAATGCGGCGCATTGTACGTGGAATGCGCCGGCGCTGAGAGGTTTATCGAGCTGCTTGCGTCCAATGTATCATGTCATGGCGCGCGCGCGCGCCGTGGCTCCGCATTGCGCGCGCGCAATCGTCCGCCAGCGCGCGAATGTGTATATGCTCTAGCGGCCCTGGCGGGGCTCGGGAATCATCTTCTACGCGCCCGTGGAGGCCGTCTGTTTTCCACGGCGGTCTCTCTGCCGAATGGGCCTGGCTCGCGTTGCCTCCCGAAGACCTGCGGTCCCAGTGCGGCGGCGTCGACGAGAACGTTCCAGTCTCGTGCGGCCCCTTGAGCGCTTCGGCACGCCCGCCCCTTGCCACCCCTGTCGGCGCGGTTCCGGACCTCGCCCAGGCCGCGCATCAACAATTCCGCATGGAGTGGGTCCCGCATCAACAATTCCGCATGGCCTTCGCCGATGTCCTGACCCTACAGAGCACATCCAAGGGCAAGAGGGCGGTGGGAGCTCGTGTTTTGACTTCGGGACGCCTTCGGCTACTAGCTGAACAGTTTCGCCTTCATGGGCTCTCTATTTTGGGCGCCGCTGAAACTTGAGTGCCTACCCCGGGCTGGGCTACCGCTGGTTGTTACCTTGTGCTGCGCGGTTTTAGGCATGAGTCAGGGGCGTTTGGCTGATCACTGTGGGTTCGGCGTAACTAACAGCTCGCCCCTGGGCGACCTGATTCAGCGGCGTCTCGGCGGTGCGTTGGCCGGGGCCGAAGCACCCCCCGCCGTGCTTATCGTCGACGTGACTGTCGCCTCCCTAAGCGCCACCTTCTGCGTTGCGCAGGAACCGCATCCAGGGCGTGATCGCCGCTTCGTTCGGCGCTGGCAGAAGCGCGCCGCGGGCCCCCTGCGGCGGGCCCTGGCAGATCGTAGCCGACTTCTTGATTTTGATGGCCGACGCCAACGCCGCCGCCAGGTCAATTAATTGTGTCCAGCTCGGCAGGCAGCATTGGCACTGAGGCTGAGACGTGTTGTGGATCTTGTTTTCATCGGCTATTTCGGGATGTTCAACTTCGCGCGCCCGGCGCCTTCCAGGGCCTAACCGGGCGCGATGATTGCGTTGCCGTGCCGAGATCTTGCTTGGCGCTCTCTTCCGGCACCAAAGTTAGTCGGGATGTAATGCTGTCGCTATCAAATCTGACCCTGAGTGCAGATTCGCGCGGACATGCGAGCGCCCAATGTCCGAGCGCGAAGTGCCCCGCATGCCCGCGAGCCCGTCCTGGGCCCCAAGTTGCTCAGATTTCCGGAGAGGTTTGGCAATCTCACGAGCGTATGATGCGCTGTCCTATTCCGGCGCTGCAGGTGCCACCAGCTCAGCACTGCTCGGCCGTCGCCGCTCGTCGAGAGGGCGCGTGGGAAAACTTCGCGGCTTCGCAAGTGGAGCAGGCGGTTTTGTCCGAGCC